AAGGGTTTAATATCAGAATACGTGTACAAGATGGCAAATTCCATTCTGAATCTGGGGTTTGGGTGCCAACTCTTGTTCTCTTAGCTTCCTAAAGGCATAAAACCAACATCAAGTGACAAGAGAAATCCTTGCCCCTGGCTCAGAGCTGTCAGCTGTCTCACTACTCTGATTTTGATGATCATGTCTCAAACACAGCAGCCTTGGCTCCTACACAGGGCAAACTGTTTCTCCCAAACTCTGGAGGCAGGGAAATTATTAAGCAAGAGTCCCCCTACTTCGGGAACCGAACCTTTTGGGCAGTGGCACTTGATAAGGGGACTGGGAGGTTAAGAAAAAGGGTCTCTCTCAGACTGCTGCAAAAGAGGAAGCATGAAAGGAAACCAGCTGCCTGGGAAGAACTCTCCAAGTCCAGGAAGTGACATGAGCAAGACAGCAGACAGGGAAGAAAGGATCTCAGATTGACGAGAGGATGCCACAAAGTCCAGAGAATGCTCAAGAGGTGGGGACGGGCTGTCACGACCCGCACGTTCCTTGGGCTTGTGAAAGTGAACAGCGATAGGTTTGTGAAACCCTTCCGAAGACAGTCACAGGTAGCGGAGGTGGTGGCAGTTGGGCCATGCTAGTTTTTTCTGCAGCGACTCAAAAAACAGGGTGCCTGTGCCCAGATAGACTGCAGGAACACCCAGTGCAGGAGCCTGCTCAGACCAAGGGAAGCCTAGGAGCTCACCCTCCTTCTGAGAGGACCTTCGGCCTCAAATACAACAGCCTGGTGAACGTTCAGCTGGGGGAGCTCTACAATGGCTGTGACCCGCAGAGTGCCGCACAGACAGGTTATAAGGACAATGAAACATGTGAGGAAGGTCTGACAGATTCAGCACCGCAGTACCAGCTCTGCGTACCTGCCTAGTCATGTCACCCACTGCCTCAGACCCTCCCTTCTCAGCATTTGTATTTAACGGGTGATGTCTCCAACTCCCATTTCATATCCCAGTGCTCTGACAACAAGCTGGGAAAGCAAGGAAAACAAAGTGAAGAAGAAAAAGCAGTCTTCAATTATCCCTCCTTAGCCACTTAGGGAGCACTGAGCTATCTCAGTTTTATGCATTCACTAGACACCTCACCTGGCTGTGGGCTTCCCCTCCTCCAGCGGACAGCCAATGGCTCCACAAGCAGTCAGCAGGGCTGCTGCCAAGCAAACAGAATAGGCAGCGCTCGAACCTAACCCGGCACCCGTGGGCAGCTCGGACCACACGACTATATCCATGCTGGGCACCTCCCTGGAACAGAAAAAGACTGGCTAAGACACCAAATGCCACATTCAAACATGAACCTCAACAGCCACTGCAACCCAACATTGGTACCACAGCAGAAGCAGGCTGGAAGCTAGACACGCGGACTAACGTGTGGCTGTTTTTTGCATTTTCAAAATCCCAGGGAGAAATCAGGTGCCAGAAACATTCCTGAATACGAAAATGCTGTGCAACAACACAGATGTTGCAGCAAACCAATTGCTCAATAGCTGGTAGCAATCGGTACAAAGAGTCTGTCCTCAGAAAAAGTTTTTAGCTATTGCAGCTGACCAGCCTTGCAAATCCATTGCACTAAAACAGGGGTAGGCAATTATTTCAGGCAGAGGGCCGCTTACCGAGTTTTG